GTGTGTGTGTGTGTGTGTGTGTGTGTGTGTGTGTGTGTGTGTGTGTGTGACATTAAAGTGGTGCCAATTTGTGACACAGTATTTTTAGAAAGGAGGCCCGTCCGCTCGGGTAATACTCCTCAGATCAGTCTAACCCTTTGATGCGTTCATTGTAGTGTGATCCTACTTCAAAGCTGCACACACGGTTGGGATGGGACGGAAGGAGTGTGACTCCACTATATACACTTCATTACGGCAGGCCAGAGATTCAGCTTTCTGTCACCTTTGACCTCTGGGCATTTGTGCTCTTAACACACTTCCACTCCACAAGATCCATGACCGGAGGTATTTATTTGTAGGGGGGCTCAGGCCAAAGAGGACACGTCTTTTTTTTTAATGTCCGCACAGTGTTCAGGATACACAGTTTTTTACAGTGTAAGTTTTTACAGTTTCACAGTGTTTTAGCTCAAACACTTTATTCTTTATTCTTTATTCCCGTTCACAGAAAATATTTTTATTTTATTGTATGTGCACCTGTGAGTCATCTTATAACTCTTGTTACATGTTACAACCAACCCCAGAGTTTAAAGTGTATTGTTGGTGTCTAATCTAACACACAGCCAATAATTACTAAATAACAGCTAATTTAGAGTGACTTATTCTTTCACTTCAATTGTATTATCTCTCTTTTGTAGGCCTTGCAAGGTTTTCTGAATATGACTAAAGCCCTGCTCACTGGGTTGAGCAAATATAATTAAATAGGTGTGTACCTGGTGTCACATTATAGCCATTGAAACCGCCTTTATGTCATGATGACAGGGCAGTAAAGTGGACTTCCTGTGTGTTTTCGCTTCCTTTTAAGGAACAGAGGCACCTGATAAGGTGGTTGAAGAGGAGTCATCTGAATATCGACTAAAACCAAGTTCAGCTTTTGTGAAGCTCGAAGTCCAAAACACCACCAACAGAACACATGAAGTAACCACTTTTTAAATGGAACAGTGGTGACCTATAAACCTACCACACCTCGGAAGCAGTTGAGGTGTGTTCAAAGTCACCACTTAGTCTTTTAAGTGTCCCGTGCTGGTGACTAAATCTGCTTATCAGTTATTATGACTCAAGCCTGAAACCTTCCACGTGACAGTAAAGAGTCACATTCCACCTGACAGCAGAAAGGAAAGGGACTTTCCTGTCCTCCACTCCCTTTTTACTGTTGCATGTCTGGCATTTGCTAAGAAATGCTGTTGGTGAAAAGCGTTCCCACGTGTCAAATATACTGTTACTGACTCCATATGGCTGTAATGAGATACTAACAGACATTGACACCAAGTAGACAAGGTTCTCGTTGAGACATGAATAACAAAAGTAGAGGAGAGGGCCGAGTTATGTTAAAAATTTACGATTTTTTATTCAAATAAATACACACTCAACACAATATAGAAATAGTAAATAATTTAAACAACACAAGCTGTTTGCCAGTCACAACATATTCTGGAAACAAATAAATTAACATCATGGTTTTAGGAGTCATTTCTCCCAGGAGAGCAAACTTGAAATAGTTTTGACAATTCAAGAGTTCAGTCCCGTGTGTGGAGCTTCTGAAAACCTCTCCGTGTGTCGGTTGAGATCAGTTGTCCCCGCTCTCCGAGAGTTCAGTCCCCAACAATCCTTCATCTCTGGAGCGGATGACCTCGTCTTCCTTTTGGTCCGCTTATTATACATGTATGGTCCACTTTGACACTATAAAGACATTGAAAAAAACATCGTTAGTTTCTGCGTTCAGCTACTGCTAATGTGTATTCTTTTTCATACATAATGTCAGCAACATGCGATGGGGTGTCCCTCACCATATTAGGAGTGATTAACTGCAAGAGTCCCACAGCGGCTCAGGGCGCCCTCGCCATGCGCCTCTCTTGCTGTCCGGGTGACGCGCTCTCATTGTCCTGCCGCGTTTTAAAGTCCTGGATGGCCTTTCTATTCTGATAATCGATTAGAGCCATGGTGATCACCGCGTTCCAGCAGTTCTCCTCCCCGGAGCACCGGAAATCAATCTCTTTATTGTCTGTGGTAACGATGGTGAAATAGACGAACTTGCCGGTGCGCTCCACGCAGTCCACCTTCTTGATGGACTGCAGCTTGAGCTCCTTGCCCCTGTTGCGCTTCTGCGTGTCGGCGTAAATGTTGAGGCTGTCCGTGGTCAGGACGCACGTCTTCCTCTTCCAGAACTGGAGCAGGCTGTCGCTCCTCTTCTCTAGCTCTCCCTCCTTGAGGACCTGGCATATCTCCGCCGCTGACATTTTCATTGTTTATGTCGGGAAGGTTTGTGAACCCCTTCTGTGTCGTCCGAGGAGGAGCCCGAGGAAGGAGCTTCTCTACAAAGGCTTCGGTAATCCAGAGTGTCGTTGTGAATGGACCAAGGTAGCAGAGGACTTTTATAGCCTACTCTGGTCTGAGCCCTTCCCACTTGACGTCAGATGACTTGGGAATGCAACAGTTGCCAGTGGAGTAATTCAAGGCTGTGTGTGGGCGGAAGCTGTGGTGCATGGAGGGGGGGCAGAGGAAGTCCTAACGTGGACCCAATTACACCTTCAACATGTTAATTACTAATCCACATCCTACTGCTCAGATAAGTCCAAATATTTGCCCACTCTGCAGTGAATGATTCAGTCTTATATGGTTGATTACCAGATGTGCACAGAGTGAGCTGAGCACATGCGTAAAGCCAGTCTGGCCCTGTAAACCTTTAAAATCAACATCTATTTCAGAGGAACTTTTGAATTCCCTGTTAAAGTTTATGATCCAGACTCGTTCCATGACAGCCTGGTAATTCATTCCCTTTATGCCTTCACTGTGCCAGGTAGTTGTTGTGCCACCCTGCTCTGTTATTCTTTTAAAAGGTATAATACTTCAGATGAAATTTGTTTCACCTCAGTGGTATTTTACATAAACTCTGCTATTTCTGTGTGTGGCTCTCAAGCTGCTGAAATGCACCCAAACAGTCCAGGAGCTATTCAGTGAGCAGAGGATTTATCATACTGTGTGTCAGCAGCTACAACAAGAGAATGGGTTCAAGGTTTAGAAAGCAGATTACGCATTTCCTAAACTTCAGTGTGAATCGCCTAATTTTACAATTATTATTATGAAAACAAGGCTTCTACGAGAATAAACATGTACAAACAAAATCCATCATGTCTTTGGATAGTTTGAACTCTCAAACAATGGATGACAGGAAGTCTGTTAATGCTGATCGTGTTTTGTTAAAAACGCCATTTATTGAGTTAACTGAACTATATCTCAACTCATCATTTCCAGTCTAAAGACGTCAAGTCAGGTGAACTCAATGTCTGATGTAAAATCCAAAATGTTAAGTTGAATAAACTTTCAATTAATAAAATGTCTATATTTGCATTAATGACAAAGAATAAGTTGATTCCACAAAATTTCTGTATGTTTTACAGTGTGTTTAAAGAACAAAATAAGGAAGAAAAGGGGTTCAGCACATGATTTTGATGCAACCTGAGGTGACATGTCGTATGCCCTTTGATTTCACTGCATAGATCACATCTGCCAGTCCCATGCTGAGCCTCTTCATTAACAACTAACCACACTGTCACTCTATCAGCTGACTGACTCAGTCCCGGTTCATGTTCACGTCAGACTGAGAGGAGCAGACTTTAAATGTGTATCGCTGTGCCACTGTCTGAAGCCCACAGGGATAAAGCTCCAACGTATCAACGCTACAGATGTCAAGTCTTGTTTAGGGTATAGATGCTCGTGTCAATAGGATTGATACCAAAAAAAAACGACAACACACATAACATCCTTGACCCCATGTGCCCAATTCAGATAGTTCACAGTGTACAGTGGCGAACGTGCATCAAGCACCCACGCAGGCTGCCTCACTATCAGTCTCCTCTCTCAGACATTTTGGAAACATCTCCCCTCCAGCTCCCCTCCGGAAGTGAAATGTCATTGCGGGCTCAGGCTCTCAACACACACGCACACACACACACTACTTCTCCAGAGTTCTCCAGTAATTATGCAAATATCCGGGTGACCCCATTGGAATCACACCGCTTTGTGCCCACATGAGTTAGAGAGAACCCCGGATGAGACACATGGACACCACCACGGCCATACTGACATTTGACCTCACCAAACGCGTAACAACTGGTGAATCACTTTAAACAGCACGGCGAGCTGACTGCTAAGCAACCACTGCATGATTGCTGACACTGAAGCGGGATGTGGCGGCCAGTTTAACCCTCTGATCTCAAAGAAAAGGAAACCACATGTGTGTACTGAGTCAAACAGCACCAACTGCTTCTGTTGAGTGAAGAGGTGCACCACCACCTTTGTTTTTGGGGCTTTTCTCTTTGTTGCCTGGTACAGTACGTGTGTGTGTGTGTGTGTGTGTGTGTGTGTGTGTGTGTGTGTGAGTGTGTGTGTGAGAGAGAGATCCTGTGATGTGTGCATATATAGGTTTTTTGCTTGCGGTGGAGACTCACAGACATGCCCAGGCAGTGACTCAGTGTGTGGTGGAGCGCCTTACTTTGGAGGAGTTTGCTTGCCAAAGGAGAGCCAGGTGTGGGTGAGACAGAGTGTGTGCACATGTGGATGACTATGTTGTGTCTATATAATCGGATCATAATTTATTTTCCCTGTGAAGAGGGTTGGAGATATACGCAGCGGTGGTGTTTGCACGTGTTTCTAAAAAGATAGAGAAAAAAGAAAATATAGAAATTGGAGAACTAAACTAATAAGATCCCTATTCAGTCAGTACACCCTCAGCTGTCTTTAAACAAAGTGTTTTGGCCAACGTCAAATTTCTCAAATAAGCCCTTTGCACAACTCCAACAGCAACAAAACGCCAATGTGTCACTGTTTCTTCTTGTTTTTCCAGTTTGTGAGAAAGTACAACTCTTTCTGGAGGGAGTCAGATTAAGTCCTGTGTCTCAGGAGGTGTGTTGTGACAACCTCGTATTCAAATCAGTGCCCTCCGGTTCTCACTGTCTCCGTATAGACAAAACAAAAACCCCAGAGACGCACACAGAGACAGGAAGTAAGATAATGTGTCTTCTGCAACAAGTGAGGAGGGTTTTGATTGTAAAATGAACAGATACAATGTGAGTTACATAGCTCAGGGGGTAACAAAACAACTTCATGTCTGTCTTTCTTTTAATCTTGTTTACTTCAGTGGGATGGAGTTTTGTAGCAGCACATGGGTGTGACAAGACAGCAGGTGGAAGGACCAGAAGGACCAAAAGTTTGGTAGTCAAGTTGGGGCATGAAGCTGCTGCATGCTTACTGTGAGTCACACAAAACACCTAAAACACAAAAGAGGTCAACTCCTTAAACCGTGCAGGAAATGACTTGTTTAGGATGAAAATAAATCAGCAGACTATGTCTGCTGATGTGTTTGAGATGAATCTATTTCTATTAATACAACTTTTAATAGACATTACACATGGGTTACACAGAACATGACTGAAGAGCTCTGATAAATGAATATACGTTGTTACAGCCACTGAAAACAAGTCACTATACATTTGAACAGTGTGTATACATTTATTAATATTTATTGTCAAATTTAAATACATTTTTTTCCTAATTTTTGAACTCCTTGAGCCCGACGAATCCACCCTTGTGGTAAAGTTACAAAAAGTTGCGATGAAAGATGGTCTATTTATAGAAGATATTCCTGTATAGCATGGAGCTCTTCAGTATGAATATTGATTGATTGATTTATTGGAAATAAATAATGTTTTGAGGTAAAACTCCCAGTAAACAGTGACCAGTAAACATACATGGAGACCGCCTGAGTATGTCTTTATACATTGTATCCTAAATGGTGTATTTTAGTGTATTTTCATCAAATATACGCTCACAGCTGTAGTGAAGATCAGTGCACATTCAGTTGCATCATAATCCATAGATCCTGGTTATAATGGTGATATTGCATTTGAAATTGAATATACTAGACGAGGATTCAAATCTTGTTTTTCCTTCAGTGAATCTCCATTTACTCTGGAACGGTAATAGAAATATAGGTTAACTTACAATGTATTTGTATTCCTTACTTCCTTCCTTCTTACCTTTCAAAGGAGACCAGAAATATGCATATAAGTCTTATGGTTGAGGAACTAAACTTGATTCATTTTGGATATGTTATTTGAGGTGCTTTGTAGGATTAGGGGCCTAAACAAGTTAATCTAAACCTGCAATTGAACCAAAACCACCAGAAAACCAAAATATAAAAAGCAAGAAGAAGCTCTGATAACAACACACACAGAGGGAGACCGACTCTCTGCTCAGGTAGACATTACTGCACTATATCTTTACACAGCAAATTGTTGGCTGCTGCTATGATGTTCAGAATGTTAAATACAACTTCTGTAAATACGCTTTCTGTTAAAATTCCAAAAAAATATTGATTTCGGAGGCTTGTAAAAAAAACAAGAGAATATTCTCGAGAGTTTGGTAGTTATTGATTATACTGCATATAGTTGTATACATGATAAATAAGACCTTTTGGAAATGGACATTATCCTGAACTGGGTTTTGCATAACCATTATCTCTACATAATTAAATGAATGTTGCATTTTGTGTTTGCGAGCACTTTATGTTTATGTACATCATGAAGCCCCCCTCAGACAGTGGACTATACATAGTCAGCCTAACAATGGGGAGCAGTATGGATGAGCTGGCTGTGATGAGCCGCTGACAAGTACAGCAGAGCTCGCAGGTAACAGCTGCATACTGTGACACGTTTATGACTTCGGCCTGTCTCTCTCTCTCTCTC